CTGCAGAAGTTGATAAAAATCTTCAATTTCCTCATCTTTGGCTTTGGTGGTTGGTGCATAAATTTGAATAATAGTCCTATTAACAGGTCTTCCTTGTAGGTGTATGGATATTATCCTATCACTGACCCTCCCCTGCATAGACATACCTAATCTTTCAGCCTGTCCACACATCTATCCACCCATATATCAATGTTTGCCTTCACTGACAATGCAGTACTGTATGTGCAAAAGGGTCATCTTTGTTGTCTGTACCTTCCCTGCACCTCTCTATGTCTTCCTCTTCCTCAATGCCACCATGTTGATCACACTTTTGGTATAATGCCCTTCCCTTCACTCAAATCAATACTTGTCTCTACCTATCTAACAGTGTTCTTTCCCTTCCCCTCCCACCCCTACTTACCAACAAAGAAAATTTCCTTCCATACAGAAACCTTTCCTTGACTTTTTACAGTAGTGAACTAATACAATATTTGTCCTTCTTTGATAGACTTCTTTCATGCAACATAATGCCCTCCAGGTTCACCCATGTTATGCGGTGTTTTGCAGATTCTGCGTTATTCTTTAGGGTTGCATAGTATTCCATTGTCCTGTATACCATAGTTTGGTTATCCATTCTTCTGTTGATGAGCACCTATGTTGTTTCCCTCTTTTTGCTATTGTAAATAGTGCTGGGATGAACATGGGTGTGCATATATCTGTTCTTGTCCTGCCTCTCGCTTCTTTACTGTCCTTATATTTTAAATATTTAATAATGACATCCATGACCCAACTGGAGATCATCCTAGAGTTGTTTTTTTTTTTTTTAATTATTATTATTGTCCTGATCCCTCCATCAGGCAGACATCAACTTTTAGTGACCACCATCTAAATACATCTTGTATTTTCCCCTGTTCCAATGCCTCCATTCGTGCCTTGACTTAGGTGCCCTTCTCTTACCAGCATTATTGCAATAATCTCCTATTTCTCCTTTCTCCGTATTCTCCTTCTACTCTACCATACCATTGCTGAAGTAATCTTTTCTTTTAAATGCATATGTAACCATATTGTCATCCAATATGTAACCATACTGTTGTCCAGTCCCGCTTTAAATGCTTCTTTTGTTTCATATAAATAGGATAAAGTCCATAATTGTAACAAAGCATATCAGCCTCACTTCCTGCCCTTCCTATATAATGCATTCTGGCAATACTTAATTGGTTTCTGAATGCATCATGCACTTAACCTGTAACTTTGCATATACTGCTCCCTCTGTGTATATTGTCCTTTTCTGCTACCCCGGATCATCCTTCCAGACTCATTATTTCACCTCACTGCCCAGACTGAGTAAATAGCTTTATCCTTTGTGTTGCATAGTGCTATTGTGGTAGTTAAGGTTGTGTGTCAACTTTGCTGGTCCTGGTTTTGAGTGGCTGGGCAGCTGGATGTAGTTATTCCCCACGATGAGACTGGTAATCAACTCCATGGTGGAATCTACTGGAGCAGCTGAGTAACTGCCTTGGGGATATGGTCTGCTTCCAATATATAAAAAGGTGCTTTGAGAAAGGTCTCTGAGCTTTTTGATGTGCCTGGACCCTGCATGTAGCTGAATCTTCATCTCAGTGCCCTGCCATGTTGTCTGCCTATCTTGGTACCATTCCAGGACTTGAACTAGTAGCCTTTCATGTTGCTTAATAATTTTAGGACTGTGCCCTTTTAGTTGTCAACCTCAGGGTTGTCAGCCTCAGCAGCCAGAGCTGTTTGAGTTAAGAGAAGCCTCCAGCTCCAGTGGGCCTGGATCAATAGAGGCAGAGCTGAAACCAAGGTCCAGGGGCCTTCACCCAGCCCCTAGGGCTGGCACTTTGAGCTCAGACATGCAGCCTCCTGAACTGTAGGAGAATAAACTCTTGTTTGTTCAAGCCATCCACTTGTGGTATTTTCTGTTAGAGCAGCACTGTTGTTGTTGTTGTTATGTGCCGTCGAGTCGGCCCCGACTCATAGCGACCCCTCCTTGGGTTTCCGAGGCAGTATCACTACGGAAGTAGGATTGCCCAACCTTCCTTCCGAGGAGTGGCTGGTGGGTTTGAACCGCCAGCCGTCTGGTTAGCAGGCAAGTGTCTTAGCCACTATGCTACCAGAGCTCCTTAGAGCAGCACTAGAGAACCAAAACTGCTGTCATACCTGTATATGCCTGTACTTTAGCATTTATTGTTGTTATTTTGTTGTTATGTGGTGTTGAGTCAGCCCCAACTCATAGCAGCCCCTCCTTGGGTTTCCAAGGTGGTATCACCACGGAAGTACATTGCCCAACCTTCCTTCCAAGGAGTGGCTGGTGGGTTTGAACCTCCAGCCTTCTGGTTAGCAGTCAAGTCCCTTAGGCACTACGCTACCAGAGCTCCTACTTGTATAGCAATTACCACATGATACTGTTTCTATCCTTTAATAAAGGAGTTTCTGTCCTTTAATAATGGAGCCCTGGTGACGTACTGCCTAAGGCATTTGACTGTTAACTGAAAGGCTGGCGGTTCAAACTCACCAGCCCCGCTGTGGAAGGAAGATGAGGCAATCTACTTCTGTAAAGATTTACTGCCTCAGAAACCCAATGGAGGTTGCTGTGAGTCAGAATCGACTTGGTAGCAGTGATTTTGGTTTTTGGTTTTATCTCTTAATAAATTGTGATGTCCTCAAAGAAAGTATCTGTGCAGCACCTACCATAGTACCTGGATTCAGAATAAGCCCTTACTAACTTTTGTAAAAAATAAATACTGTCTTTGTCTTCTAGGTATTTACTCTCTAGTGGTTTCACTAAACATTTTTGACAAATGGTGGCTGGGTTTTCCTTCTGTTTTGCAGTATATCAATTCTGGGAACCTGGAACAGTTACTAGACAGTAACCTGCATTTGCCCTGGACTGTGAGGGTGAAACTAGCCTATGACATAGCAGTGGGCCTCAGCTACCTTCACTTCAAAGGCATTTTCCATCGGGACCTCACATCTAAGGTATGAAGGCTTTACTTTCACAGCTCTTTGAGAGACACTGTTCTTCTCTCTTACCAAGAAAATTGTATTACAAAATCAGTCATTAATGAGCTTAGAAATTATGAAATCTCTTATAGATTTAACATTTAATCACAGAGGACACAACTCATTACTCTGTATAGAAAGCCAGTCTTACCTCAGAGCCAGTGCCTTTCATTGTTGAGCCAGGCAACACATACATCTTGAGAGGCTTCATGTTTGACTTCAGTCTGAATGCCTGTTGCAGGAGCAGATGGCATGAGGAGGGTTAAGAGATTATTGCCTAGTAAGAATGGCAGAAGTTGAGGCATTGTGAGGGCCTGTCTCTTAGTGTACTTTCCCATGGTCTCCAGGAAGTAGCTGTTGAGAGCAGGAGTTTAGTAGTTTTTAGTCCCTTGAGTGTAGGTTTTGAGGGCCATAATGTACTGACCCATTTTCTGTCTGTGTGATTGAGTTTCTGCCATCCTGCCAGTTCCTCTTTGGCATCAGCTAGTCCCCCTGTAGTATTCTCTTGCTTTCCAAATTGCTGTGTGACCAGGTTAGAAAAGAGTTGCTTTTAGGGGAAATTGGCCCAGGATACTACTGTGACAAGGTTTATATGAATAGTATTGCTTGATCATTGATGGAGGAACTATAAGGCCATCTGACAGTTCTGCCAGGAGAATCTGTAGTCTTCTAGGGAGGGATATAGAAGTATTGTACCTACCCAAGAATAGGTGTCATTTCAGTCTCCATTCTCAGTGTGTGCATGCACACGTGCGCACATACACACATACACATGTACACATACATTTATATACATGCATACATATACTCCTCCTTATCCTGTCTGTCATGGATGAGTAGGAAAGGAGCTGGTTGTAAGAAGTTTTCAATAAAAACAAAAGTAGGCTGTACTCTCAGAGCCAGCAAGACAGAGCAGCAAGTTCCTGGCTGCCTACTGTTTTTAAACAGTAATACTATCCCTAAGGGACCCAGCTATTTGTTTATGAACTACTACACAGAAAATAGCTTTGGGGAGGTGATTGTAGGGATCTTGGGTATAACAGAGCCATTTGTAATCAGTTGTACTATTCTGAGAAAGAGCCCTGGCAGTGCAAATGATTAAGTAGTTGGCAGCTTGTCGAAAAGTTGGCAGTTTGAATCCACCCAGCAGCTCAACAGGAGAAAGTCCTGGTAATCTGCTTCCACAAACATTACAGCCAAAAAAAAAAAAAACCCACAATGGAGCAGTTCTGCTCTGTCACATGGGGTTGCTATGAGTCAAAAATTACTTGAGGGCACCTGACAACAGCACTATGCCTAAAGAGCACTAAGACTGGCAAGTAGACTCTTGGAATCAGCTGAGGACTAGTTATAAGGAGCATTATCTAAATAAGTACCTGCAAGGACTGGACAGTTGTGACCTGGAAAGTGGTTTTCTAGTCCTTAATAATCCTTTTCTTCTCCCCCTACCCATAATGTTTTAGAAAATCAAGATTAGGAAACTTTCAGTTGTACCAGGCAAATGGATGGGGTTGTATCAATTTAACAACTACCTTAAGTGGATAAAGTAGCTCTGGTAGCACAGTGCCTAAGGCATCTGACTGCTAACCAGGAGGTTGGTGGTTCAAACTCCCTAGCCACTCTAGGGAGCAAGACTGGGCAATCTACTTCCATAAAGGTTTACCACCTCGGAAACCCAACAGGGGTTGCTATGAGTCAGAATAGACTTGGTGGCAGTGGGTTTGGTTTGGTTTGGTTTGAAGTTGATAGCTTACTCTTATTTTTAACATCCAACCAAAATCAAACCTTTGCTTCCTAGTCAAAGAGAGTCATTTCTTCCAAGACGGAAGTAGTTCACAACACATATAGATTATTCCCTCCATACTTCTGTGAATGTCTAGGCCTGAGCCCAGCACCATGGATAAAGGAATATTTAAAAAGGAGTGTTTCTAACCTTGACATACTTAAAATCTTGTTGTTGGGAAATAGCTAAAGTACAGTCCACAGTAGCATTTTATAATTGAATGTTTGATCACATAACCCAGACTATATGTTTTCAGAGCAGAGAACAATCACTGTAAGCTAGGATAGCCAAGTTTTCTGGAAAATGGAGATCTCCCCACCATTCCCAAGAGTTCATCATATTCTGTGTCCCAAACATTTTGTCTCATTGTGCTGGTGTCCAAGTGTAGTTCTATCTAGACATGTTGCATTGTGTTGTAAAAATGCTAATCTTTTTAGAGCTATAGGGTATGACCACTATCCTTTGGTTTCCCTGGAGTGGGTATTCCCAGTGTCAGGTTGGCCTGAGACAAGAAACTAGGAACTTAGGAGAAAGGATTCTATATGTCTCTGGGCTTGCTTTCTTTTTTCTTTCTTTTTTTTAAAAATTGTGATTTGGGTGAAATTTTTCAGAGCAAATTCATTTTCCATACAGCAGCTCACATACACTTTGTCTCATGACATTGACTACAATTTACCACAGTGCAACATCTCCCCTCCCACTTCCTCCCCATAGTTACCTCTTCCCTGTGCCCTTCAGTCCATGCACTCCTGCCCCCTGAGCTGTCTCCCTGTGCATACACAGCCCTTCTGTTCTCCCATGATTGTTCTCTCCAAGGAGTGTATCCACCTAGTGTAAATGTTCAGCTCATATGCCTGTCTTTTGTTTGGCTGGAATCCACAGGTGTGGGTTCAATTCCAGAACTGAAGGGCAGCTAGGGGCCATAGTCTCAGTGGTTCCCTCAGGCTCTATCAGACCAGCAAACCTGGTCCATTTTTTTTTCCCCTCAAATGATTTTGAGTTGTATTCCACATTGTTCTCCTCTATCCAGGATCTCCTACATAGATCTCCTTCTGAGTGGTTGACAGTGGTAGCCAGGCACCATCTAGTTCTTCTGGTCTCATAGTCATATAGGCTGAGGATCACATGGTTTATCAGTCACTCGCATTAATGGTTTCCATGAATCTTTGTTTTTTTTTTCATTCTTCTTTGCTCCAGACAAGGAGAAACCCATCATTGCATCTAGATGGCTGCTTGCAAACTTTTAAAATCCCAGTCGCTACTCGCCAAAGTAGGAGGTGGAACAATGTTTTGTATAGTGTATTATACCAATTGAGCTTGATGTCCCCTGCGACTATGGTCCCAAGCCCACAGGCTCAACTACTTGCTCCCTTTGGGTAGTTGGCTGTGCCCAAGAAGTGACCACAGCCTTGTCCCTTGTCAGCTCTACTATTCACCTGGGAATTCTTTTTTTTTTTTTT